CCGACCTGGCCTTGGAGACCACGTCCTCCTCCGCCTCCAGCTGTGACCCCCCACGACTCTCCTCCTGGCTTGTGCCCAGGCCGTTCCTGCTTCCCCGCTCCCCGCCCCCAGCACAGCACTTCTCGGGGAGAAAAGCTGGATAACATGACAACTTGTTTCAGGGGGAGAGGGGAGATGGATGAGTGTCTACGTGTGCGTGTGAGTGTATGGAGGCGCATGATTCAAGTGAGAAGAGCCCCTCGGGTGCAGCAGTAACACTAACAGCCACTCATCAAACACTCTGCGCAGCTCGCTGCGTTACTCAGCACCCTGAAGGAGCTTCACGCTCGTGATTTCACCACGCGGACAGTGACCATTATTGAAATTATTCCCGTAACACACACGGGGAAGCTGCCGCTGAGCGGCGTGAGCCTGTGCCCAGGTCACCAGGTCCAGGCCTCTCCTTACGCGCTAACGCAGCCCTGGGGTGCGAGACTGCCTGGGGTCCGCCAAGACTTCTGGCAACTTCCTAGACCGGCTCACGTTTTTCTTTCTTACGTAACAAGCACACGCTACTTTTAGAAGGAGAGAAAACAGCACAGCGCCTCCGATGGGAGAAACAGAATGCTGGGCGGGTGGAGGCTGGGCCTGCTGTTCCCCGCGCTCGGTCTGCACTGGGGAAGAAGCAGGTCACCGTCTTCCTCAGTCGCAGACTTGGACCCCCTCCCAGCCTTGAGGATTCTGGAGCAGCACGGCACCTGCGTGTCCCCACACGGACACTTTTGAGAGATGGCCTTGTAAATGACACCTCGCATCTGACCCTTTATCCTCCCGTGGTGTAAGCATCACTGCATTTCACACAGAGCACCACCCAGGGGCTGCACTCAGAACCTCAAAGACTGCACCTAAGTGGCTCAAGGAAGTTCTGGAATTTTCAACAACAATTTTGGTATCTGATTTCTGCTTTAAGTGCTGGCTTAAGAACATACCTCCCCCAGCACTAGGATTCTGACGAGCAGACTCACCCACCACCTCTTCCAGGGTACCTTCTCCCTCCCAGGTGTCCCCTGCCTGGACCGTGTCCTGGGTACGCCCGGGGCCAGCCTCAGTCAGACTGCGAACTCCTCGAGGGCGTGGAGCACCCAAGCTGGGTCTGGAGAGTATGAATTTGGAGGCAACACCTCTGGCCTGTGTGGGAGGCTCAGAGGGATGGGACGTGGGCGCCTTCCTCCTTCCTTCCTGGAGAAGACCTAGGGTCACGGATCAGACGGCATGGCCAGAGGCAATGGTGGGGGTCAGGGCTCTACAGGAGCGCGGAACCATAACAGGTGCTCTGACGGCCCCACGAGAGAGGGCCCTGTGCAATTACGTTCTGCCGACACTGCCTAGGACCGCTGGTGCCACCCCACCGCCCGTGCCAATACTACCACTACCGAGCACTTGGCGTGGCCGGCCAGTGGGCGGCCAAGGGCTTTCTGTGCGGGAACTCACTTTAATTAAACCCTCAACAACCAGAGACAGGGACTGTTCGCCCCCGAAACTAAAGCTAAGACAAAGAACCACGTGCCCAAAGTCACGTGGCCAGGCCATCGGCCACTCTGGGAGCCACGGGCAGGTCTTCTCAATCACAGCCTGGTCACTGAAGGTCCGCTGTGTGGAGGCAGAGGGGCTGGGGAGGCGTGAGACCCACAGGCAGTGAGCCCCCCACAGGGCATGTGGGTAAGTGCAGTGACAGAGGCAAAGACCCAAGCGAATATGAAAAGTCCATGACAACTTCTGACTTCTGACGGAAGGAGAGAGAGGAGAGGGGAGGTTCCCCAGAGGAGGCGGGGTAAGACCTGAGAAAGGGGTCAACACCCGAGGGGTGGGAGGACCAGGCATCTGGACCAGGGAACAGTGCTGGAGACCCTGGACTCAGAGACATCCCGGTTCTCCTGTCTCCCCAATCCTAGTGTCCTGGCTCCGTGTGTTTCACTCCACTCAGCACACTCACTGAGCCTCTAATCTGGCCGACCCTGTGCTGAGCCACGCTGGGGACACTGGAGATGGAGCAGAGGCCAGTGCAGACCCGGTCCCCCACAGGGATGGTGGGGAGGGACAGAGACCCGACACCCAACACGGAGGACCCAGAGTGGTCCGGGTCAGGACGGGGGAGCCCACAGGAGGGTCCTGACCCTGTGGGGGGAGGGGGAGCAAGGGCAAGTCAGAGAAGGCTCCCTGGAGGAAGGGGTGTCTGCGGCAAGTCTGAAGGAGGAAGGGATGGGGTGATCAGGCTAGCCAGAGGGAGAGAGCACTGTGAGAGAGCACCACGGGGACTGGCCTAGTCTGGCGAGTTCAGGAAAGGACTCTGGGGAACATCTGAGCTGAGGAGGGGAAGAGGGAGAGAACGACAGGGCACAGGCGGAGAAGGGGCAGGCCCAGACAGCAATGACCTAGGTACCTCCGAAGGTTCCTGAGGCAAGGGCGTGGCAGGAAAGGAGACAGGGACTCTGGGACGGGCCACGATCAGGCCACACTCAGACCACGGAGGTAGCCTGGGAGCACCCACAGGGGTACTCTGTGCTGGCACACAAAGCAGGAGGCCCTCCTGGAGGAGGGCGGGGAGGGAACTTCCCGCGGCGCACGCGCTCACCTTCACGCGCGGCTTCTTGTGCTGCACGCCGTCCAGCTCGTCGTCCTCGTCGCTGTCCTCATCCTCACAGTTCTGCAGGAAGGGGATCTGCTCCAGCACCGAGCCGCCCAGGCGCTCTTTGCCGTCTTTGCCTGCCGCATTCCTGCCCACAACAGGGGGGCAGAGGGGGCGTTAGTCCTGCCAGGTGACAAAGCTCAGATGGGAGGGCGCCCAGAGCCTGCACTCGGCTCTCGGGGGGCTGAGCCCACCCTGACCCCAGAGGAGCCGCGCTCTGATCACACACAGGGCTCCGATCCCCGCCTCCGCCGGGCAGACGCTCGCCCCAACCTGAACCCTCGTCCAGACCCCAGACTGGTCCCAGCTCCTCACTGAACTCTGACCCACACCCCGCCGAGTTCCAGAGGACAAGCCCCCACCCGGCCACGCGTCTCCCAGCGTGTGCTGAGCCAGAAGAGCTGGATGAGAAAGTGCCACTGACTCAGCAGCCCCGCTCCCAGGGCCCGGTCAAACCACAAGCGCAGGTCAGGGAGCGGCAGAGAGGCCCCCCGGCAGGAAGCAGGAACTGGTCACCCGACAAACGCTCGGGCCCCTGCCAGCCAGCCCACAGCCGAGCCTGCACTCTCCCCCGACAGACGGCACTCCTGTTCCCACCTCCCGGCCTACCGGGTCACGCCTCCAACTGGACAACAAGTTCTAGCAAACGAGGTATCTGCCAAACCCGACGGCACGGCAGAAAGGGGGTGGAATTCAGAGTTCACGTAAATGCAAACACCCTCCTTCTGGGCCGCTAGGCTGAGGCTCCAGAGATTTCTTGTCCACTGCCCAGGCAGACGCTGACTGCTCAGCAGAGCGCTCTCTCCTCCAGGATGCCAACCTAGCACTCGCCTCCTGGCCTCCTCCGCACAGCGCCCCAGCAGAACATCTCTGCGCCCAGCTGCCGAGACGCCATTCTCAGGGCTCCTCCCACAACACTGGCTGCATCGGCTCAGCATCCTCCTGGCCCTCTCCCCGGCCTCTAGACGAGGGCAGGCCCCCAGAGCTCAGTCCTCCGACCTCCTCTCTCTCCCTCAGTGATGGCGGGGTCCCGTGGCTTTCAAAACCCGCCGGGTGCTGGGGACCTAGACTGAGTTCAGGAGTCAAGCGCCCCGAGCTCCAGGCCCCTCCAGCTCCACCCACCCTCAATGCCCCCGACCTCCCACTGCTCGTCTTCTCCCGGCAACGCTGCTCCGACCACACCTGGAGTCACCCCTAGTTTCTTTTCCTCTCCCTCACATCCAACCCTCTAAACAGTGTCCAGTTACCCTCAAAACCTATCCAGAAGCTGAGCGATCCTCGCCCTCCACCGCTGATGTTCGTCACCTCCCCCGACACCACAGTCCTCTCCTAACCCGGCTCCCTACTCCCACTCCCACGTTGGCCTCACCAACGCCTCTCCTTCTCGAAGCAGACCACGTCTATCTGATGAGGTCACAGCCCTGCTCGAAACCACTGGCTTCCCACAAGCCTTCGAGTAGAATCCAAACTCTTTATCATGGCCGGTAAAGCCCCATTTGATCTGACTCCTGAGATTTCAACCTCACCACAGACCACAAGCCCACGTGCTCGCCCCACGGCAGCCACGCCGGCCTGGCGGCCGGTTCCTGAACACAGCACGTCTCTTCCGTCTCGGAGCCTTTACACCAGCTCCTTCCTCTGCCTAGAACATTCTCCTTCCAGCTACTTGTGTGCCTTCCCTTCCACTTTACGCAGTTATCTGCCCAAATGTCACCTCCACAAAGAGGCCCTCCCTGCCCGCCCCAAAGCCGCACCATCTCCTGTCACTCTTTCTTACTACCTGGGGAGGAAGTGGCCACCAGAGCACGAAGGAGCACTGCTGACTTTCCTGACACTGGCCTTCGTCAGGAGAGGGGAGGCACAGAGGGACAGACTCGCCAGGTCCAAGGGCTCACCTCTTGATCTGCTCCTCGATCTGTTTCACCAGCAGCGACTCACCACCGCTGAGCCCCCCGGGGCCCGGCGTGGCCCTGGGGCCCCCTTCGCTGGGCTCCATGGCCCCGTTGAGCTCCAACGAGCGGCCCAGTAGGGACCGCACGCGCTTGGACCGCATGTCCAGGATGGTGTCTGTGTAGCCCACCTCTTCCAGGTACCTGCAGGGAGGCAGAACCAGTGCGGGTCAGGCGTCTTCTGGCTTCTTTATAGACTGGGGGGCCGACGCAAATTGGGACAGCCTTTTTGGAGGAGCAACTTAAGACTACACATCAAAATGTGAAATAAGTATATCCCTGAGCCCACCGTTTCACTTTCAAGACTATTTCCAGTGGAAGCCTTTATATGCAGGCACAATGCTGTCACACAGATGCTCGCCACGACGTTGTACAGGGGAGCCAAAAAGCAGGGGCCAACCTGTACGGCCACTGACAAGGACGGTGGAAGCAAATTACTGAAAACAAAGGAGGCAGAGCGCCAAGGAAAGACGGCCACGATAAACGGCTTACGGAAAACTCTAAGTTATGTGATCTGTACAATTCAAGTGCCTGAAAAAAAAGTGTTACTGTGTGTAAGTCAAGACCACACACACACACATACACAAATACATAGACACACAGTATGCCCCCACGAGGCCTAGAGAGATACATGCTGAACCTGACAGCAGAGACCCCTGGAGAACGGGGTTAGGGATGTGAGAGGAACTTCTGCAACTTACTCTACTCACTTCTACAAATAAGCATTTATCACTTCTGCAATTTAAAAAGTTGAGCCCAGCTGGGACTTGTTTATAAGCTAAAAAAGGGAAAAAAGGCCATTATGGGTATCTGTGGCTTCAAAAGATGCGAGACAAGAGTCCCTTGCTGGTCCCCGGGAGGCTTCTTTGGAAGTCTGTTCTGTTTACTGGGACTTTGTCCCTTGGGCCGCTGCCCCTGGCACATTAGCCCGCACATGCCTTCACTGCCGTCTCATCTCAGGGGCCTGCCTCATCTCGGGGGCCTGCGTGCAGCTGCGGCTCCCCTCCCCTTCAGGGCACAGGCTGGGAAGCATGGGGGGGCAGAAGTTGGACTCCGGGGGTGGACCGCCTGAGATCACATCTCAGAGCCCCGCTTATTAGCTGTGTGACCTTGCGCAAACAGATACCCTCTCTGCCCCTCGCGTTTCACATCTGTGAAAATGAGGGGATGCTCGTCATTACACCGCACAGGGATTAACATGAGAAACTGATGTGTGCAAAGTGTTCAGCACAGCACCAGGCACGTAATGGGTACTGGGCAGGGGCTGCCTGTCATAACCGTTTTGTTGTCATGTTGGCACACACTTGAAGCTAGCAACTGTGTTCCAGATATTCAGCTTGAGGAAATTAAGGATGTGGACAAATAACTTCTGTTTGTCACCTTGTCTATAAAACACCTTCAATGAAATACACAAGGGATTGGCGGTAGAAGGTCACAGTTACCATGTGACAAACTATTATACGGTCCTTAAAAGGATGCAACGTAACTAATTTACATGGAAAGACGCTCGCAACCCTTAACAAAAGGAAAGCACTACAAAACACTGTGAGGGGGACACACAGACACAAACGCACAAGGGAAAGACTGACAGTATATATGCAAGTATTGACGGAGGCATGAAATTCCTTGGGTGGTGAAATTAGGAGTGATTTATATCTTTTCCTTGTGTTTTCCTCTATTTCCCAAGTTTTCTAAAACACACAAATCTCTTTAGTAATAAAAAATGATTTAACATGAGCCTTGAAAAAAAGCCACAGAGGCGGTCGAGGTCACCTTCCAAGAGTGGGGTCCCCCATCTGCCTCCTGCAGCGAGTCTTCCCTCCTTCTCCCCGGGCAGGGCTCCACCCACAGGGTGACAGGCCATCTCAGCTGTGCTGGCAGGATCCTGATAGTTACATGTTCCCAGTGGGGACAGGAAGGACTCGGCATCTTCGGGCTTATCTCCCAAGCCAATTGTGTCCCCCTTCCCCCGCACATCCCTCTGTCCCTCCACACACTCACTGTCGGAGAAGCTGCCGCCCCTCCTTCCACACCAGCGGGCTGTTCTCCAGGGTGACGGACTCCACAGGGCCATTGGAGACTGGAGGGCGGAGAGGAAGGAGGCAGGCTGGCTCAGTCAGCGCGCCGCCCCACACCCATCACCCCCTCCATCTCCCTCACCCTCGAACCCAAATCGGTCACCGTCCCGGGTCTGATGGAGAGTGTTTGAAGCCCACCCTCTCCCCTGCGCGCTCATCCCTAGTCTCCTGACCTGTCATTCCTCAAACCACCCTCCAGACTCTCTTCAGACTCGGATCTGGCTGTGTCATTTTCCCACAGAGGAAGCCGGCCCAGTTCTGAGAGAATGGGCAGACTCGATCGACTGGGTTCAAGGCCGGCTCTGCCACTTCCCAGCTGCATGACCTTGCGCACGTTACTTTACCCATCCGAGCCTGTTTCCTCCTCTGAGAAATGAAGTTAATAATAGCAGCACCTCCCTCTCGGGACTGCTGTGAGGATTAAATGAGATCACCTGTTTATTCTATCCATCAAATATTTACCTGGCATCTACAGGGCGCCTGGGCTCCCTCGGTAAACAACGCCCCCTGCCCTGCGGGACTCCCATTCCGGTAGAGGAGCGTGACATACAGAACAACACTCACCATCAGGCCAGCACTGAAGGCCTCGACGGGTCACCCAGCCACCAACACCACGGGTGCCAGTCCCACCCCCTCACGGCCTGTCCTCTAACACACCACAGACTTCCTCTGCCCGGAACACCTGCCCTGGTGTCCCGCTGGTGAACTGATCCCTCTTCAAGGAGCTTAGACTATAAGGGCCTTGTGTGTGTGTCTCTACTTCACCGGCCTCCTTCACCATCACCCCTCCCCAGGGACCCAGCACCACACCTGGCAGAGCAGCCCATGGGGACGGGTGCCGAGAGTGAGATTCAGCCCCCTCCCCAGCCAATTCTGCTTTCCATGGAGCAAAGTATGAGAGAGGTGGCCCATCTCTGCACTCCACCCTCAACGTCAGTTTTGTTGGGAGGGGGCCGGTGAGGAGCATCAGAGGGTGGGTACCTTGTTCTGACAGTTCTAGTTTCTTCTCCCCCTGGTTCAGGTCTGTCCCAAACTTCAATTTGTGATATTTGGCCCTAAAAAATGATGAACAAATGAGAGATGCAGAGGAGTAGACAGGGCCAGCGCTCATCTCAGGAAGTCCAAATCCCAGGGCACCGCCACTCCCCCGGCCCCCGTTCCACTCTCCCACCCGAGGCTGAGCTGCCCCGCCCCCATCAGGAAGCAGCCCTGGAGGAGAAGGCGCCACCGACGGCACCGTGAGGACCCCACTCTTGGGAGTCAGGGAGAATGGCTGCTATCCCAACTCCAGGAGCCCCTGAAGGAGTCCTCACCTCGGGAAGCCTCACTGGTACCCAGGAGGCTATTGGAAGGGATAAATGAGCCAACGCATATGCGGTGTCTGCCGCCCAGGGGGCCACCATCATTATGAACACTTTCACCAGTACTTATCCTGAATCCCACCTACTCTGTCCTATTCTGTTCCCCTCTCCTAGAACCACACAGTATTGGGTGATGGAGACGAGAAGGCCTGACCCCAAACCTCCCTCGGCTGGCAGGGAGGGCACCGGCCTCCCGACCTCCCTGCTCAGACCGACTCCTCGGAGGGCAGGAGCGGGGCCCGCACGCTCACCTCTCCTGCTTCAGCGCGTACTCCAGCATCTTGATCCGCCGCACCAGGTCTGTCTTCAGATTCTCTTGCCCTTTCCTTTCTCCCTGGAGGAAGGCCACCTGCGCCTGGGGGGACAGAGGGAACAGGAAGACAGCAGGGCTCAGGCTCACTGACGTGTGTCCCTCCCTCACTCAGGGACAATCAGCTCCAGCCCCCACGCCCACAGTGACATGCAATAGCCATTTCTTCAGGCATGAAGACCGGGGCCCAGTGGAGCACCGACAGGGCACACTGGTCTGTTTCCAGAGTCCCCTGCCATGTCACCCACAATGGAAGAGCTGAAGGGGACTCCTTAACCCCTGAAATTAAAACGTGGCCCGCTTGGGACTAAGTTGGTCCCAGCCTTTCGGGGAGAAGTCGGATTGGGGACGAAGGTGGGGGAGGCAGGCATGAACAGCCCTGGGCTCCTCCTCCCCCCCAAGGCAGGTGCTGTCCTAGGCTGCTGGTGGAGGTGGCGTCTCACTATTCCTACCAGAGCATCTGTCCCTGGCAGGTGGAGGAAGCTTCTTCTGGAGCATGGGGACAAGAGTGGGTGGCTTGGCTTGGCTCCCGCTCCACTGCAAAAGCTTTACCACCCGACCCCTTCCGTGGGGACCAGCCGTCCCACGGGAGTCTGCCCAGGGTGAGGGAGACGTGCCACAGACACGACCCAGGGCCCCCGCCAACCACTTCACACCGTCTGCTGGCATGGGCTGCCGCCGTCTGCTCTGGCCTGTCAACAGGTCTTTTGGAGACATGGGGCCAATGGCCTTCGAGGCAGGATCCTGGCCCCTGGCCATGTTCCAGAAGCCCTGTGCCAAAGCAGGGTGCAGGGCTCGTCCCCAGCTTCTCCCCAAGTTCTCCACTGTTCCAGGCTGGACTCGAGCTCCAGGACCGGCTCGGCCACTGACTCGCTACAATGATCTGAGGCAGGTCATCGGCCTTCTCTGAGCCTCCTAGCCCTTTCTCCTTCTAGAAATCAGGGCTCATGAGAGTGCTTGCCCCTCGTGTATAAGTCCTTCTCAGTCCAAGGCCTAGCACAGAAAGGCTAATAAATGCCAGCTCCTACTTCTGACTGTTTTTCTTCTCCCTGTCCATTCTTCCACAATGCTGCAATGGGCCCTGTTCTTCAAGGGAGCTGGGATCCCCCTGAGACCCGAGACCCACCAGGCAGGGATGTCTGTGGCTCACAGGCCTGCTGCCCCCACAGCGGCCGCTTCTTCCTGGAGCCGATCCCCGCACATCACATGTTGCTGAAGAACTTCAGCGGTTCCACCAGAAGGCCCCAGTCTGGCCCCAGATACCTTTCCCGGCTGCACCCATTCTCAAAGCCTCGCTCCAGGACTCTCGCCTCTCAGATGCCACCTACACTGCTCTCCCTCTCCTTGGGGACCGGGGACCAGGGACCAGGTCCTTCCCTCAGGTTAGCAGAGAACCAAGCACACACTAAGTAATACCCAGGATGGGCCGGGGACCGGGGAAGCAGGCACACTCATACACTGTTAGTGGGGGCATAAAATAATACATCCTTCCTGGAGGGCAATCTGGCCATATCTATAAAAATGCTAAATGCACATTCCTTTTGTCGTAGCAGGTCCACTTCTAGGAATTTATCCTACAGGCATAACTGTAATAGTAGGCTTCCTTTTGAAAAAATAAAAAGAAATACACACGCACCAATGCATGACGAAAGTATCATTCGTTCATTCATTTACTCCACAAATATTTACTGAGCCCCAACTACGTATGAAGTACAGTTGCAGACAGAGGATACAGCACTGCACAGGATGAGGTTTACATTCTAGAGGCAGGTTCTTTCCCGTTCTTAACACGTTTTTCTCTCTACACTTTTTGTGTGTGTGTGTGTGAGGAAGATCAGCCCTGAGCTAACATCCGTGCTAATCCTCCTCTTTTTGCTGAGGAAGACCGGCTCTGAGCTAACATCTACTGCCAATCCTCCTCCTTTTCCCCCCCCCCCCCAAAGGCCCAGTAGATAGTTGTATGTCATAGCTGCACATCCTTCTAGTTGCTGTATGTGGGACGCGGCCTCAGCACGGCTGGAGAAGCGGTGCGTTGGTGCGCGCCCGGGATCCGAACCCGGGCCGCCAGCAGCGGAGCACGCGCACTTAACCGCTAAGCCCTGGGGCCGGCCCTCTCTACACTTTAAATCAACACGTATGTACAGAAGCATCTGAGGCCAGCCAGGTGGACTCACATGGGATCAACAACTCCGAAGTCTGAGTTTCTGTCCTTTGTGTATCTTCTCAGTCACCCAAATCTACTCTGTCCATGAGTCATTTAGAAGGTGGGGGGACAGGTGGAGAAGAGAAGGTCAGCCACCAGACACAAGCCCTGGTTACCTCCTCACGGTCCTCCCTGGCCTCCACTAGCGAGTTTCTCCTTCCTGGCGCCAGCACAGCCCACTGAGGGCCCACAGTCGTTCAACACCCAACAGTGGGGACCGCCCATGAGGGGCTGGGGACCGTGAGAGGCTCTGGCAGGAGAATGGAGAAGATGAGCAGTTCCTGTCCCCACAGGGCTCTCAGTGCAGTGCAGGAGACAGGCACGGGCTGTGACAACTAACGTACGATGTGACTGGAGCAAAGGATGCTATGGGAGGAGGGACAGGCAACCCACTTTTGAGGTTAAGAAGGGACAGTTCAGCTGAGACTGACGGCTGATTAGAAGGCAGCCAGGGGAGTGGAGAGCGCTGCTGGCACAGGACAGAGACAAGGGCTGCATGGCGGCTTAAAGAACTCTAAAAAGTACGGCCACATCAGAATGTGCAAAAGGGTTACTGAGGAAAGTTCAAGAAGCTCGCAGGCCCGACGAAGGATCGCAGACCACGTGAATGGGTTTATTTTATCCTGAGAGCATAGGGGAAGCCATGGAATGGTTTCAAGCAAAGGAGAGATGTAACGAGCTTTGCATGTTACAAAGGTAATTCCAGCTACGATGTGGAGAACTGGTGGCTGGAGAGGAGCGGGACAAAGCTAAGGCCACAAGAAGAGCCCCAGAAATCCCAGGAGAAACAACAGAGGCCCAGACTAGGACAGGGAAGAGTGGATATGAGGGAAGAAAGAGGCAGGACCCATGACCTTCCTTGAGGGGGACGAAAGCAGCGTCGAGAATCACGCCCACCCCCACATTTGCTCAGCCTCCCCTCCATCTGCCGACACACCGAGCCCTGGTCTCCCTTCTCCGAATTATGATGCCAGAATCTCACTCGGTCCACTCTGCTCTGATGTCCCCTTCCCAGTTCCTCCGGCAAAGAGAGAAAAGAGAAGCAGAAACATGTGGTTGAGTGCCCCACGTCGGTGGAATCCCACCTCGAGGGGAAGTGTGGGGGTCAGCCCTACTGCCTGATCTGAAAGTGCCGGGGTGGGCTGGCAGGTATGTTTGGGATCTGGAAGTTCTCTCCGCACCCTATCTACCCACTGCCACTCCCCCTGGCCAGACTGTTAGAACACACACGCCTCCAGAACGTTCTGAGACATGGCTGCCGCCTCTCCTCCAGCTGTTCGCTCTCCAGCCAGGCACCTCTACAAGGCCTCCCGAGGAGCCTCAGCATCTCGGTCCTCCCAGGAGCTGATGTCTCTCTGTATCCCGCTGCCCACCTTTCCATCCCAGCCCCCAGGGAAGGGCTCCCATTCAGCCCCATCTAGCCCTGCGTCTCCTACACTCCTCCTTCCCAAGCGCAGCAGCTCCTGGCAGGGGTGAGTCCCCACAGACCCCTCAGAGCCCCTTGTGAGGCCGGAAGTGGGGAGGGGCCGGTTCCACTCCTTCTCTGTTGCCTTCATACTCGTCACATCTCCCTGTCACTGCCCCCACGTGAATGTCCAGAGATTCCCCCAAGAGGTTCCTCCTGCCCTCAGAGAGCTCGCCTTCCCCGAAGTGCCACAGATCACGGGCAGAGCCACACAATCAACTACACACATTGGGTGCGAATGTGTAGAGTTCTCTGTAGCCTCCCGTGCAAACCAGCCTCCTCTGTTAGCCTGGAAGTTTCTGAAGGGCAGAGACCACATCGCCTACTTCTCCGAATCCCCCCACCTGACAGAGTCCTGCTTTCATCAGACCATACTTATATTCCCACCCCGCTCCAATCTTCGGGTGCCTCCTGGTGGGACCTCACAAGGGGCTGCCTTTCCGCCATTCCACACACACTTTCTGAGCACCGACCGCAGAGCGGGTCCTGTGCCAGGAGCAGCTGCACTCAGCGGTTTGGAAAAAAGGTACTCAGAGATCATCAGGAAAATCTGACACAGTCTGGCCCTTAAAGGATCCCGCAGGAGAAGTCACACCTCTGTCAGCACTAAGTGCTCGAGCAAAAGTGTGCAAAAAGAGGTGCTGCTGATGGGGGTGTAAACGTGGGCAACTCGGCAGACCCAATCACCGTTCATAAACACACCTCGTCCACTATTCCACCCATCTGTTCTGCCGTATCCTCACACGGAACGTAAGGATACTCAAGGCAGCCGTTTCTGACAGAGGAAAACTGGAAACTACCTAAACGTCCACGAACAGGGGTCCAACTAAATGAGCTATGGCACAAACATCCAGCGGAACATAGTCATCAAAAATGAGAGAGAGGGGCCAGCCCTGTGGCGTAGTGGTTAAGTTCGCCCACTCCGCTTCTGCAGACCAGGTTCGTGGGTTCGGATCCCAGGGGCAGACCTACACACCGTTCATCAAGCCATGCTGTGGTGGCGTCCCACATACAAAATAGAGCAAGATGGGCACGGATGTTAGCCCAGCAACAATCTTCCTCACCAAAAAAAAAAAGAGGAAGAGCTCTCTGTGCTAACGTGAAAAGGACACCAAGACCCACGAGTATGTGAAAAAGTCACAAAAGGATACATATAATATGATCTCATACGTTACACAACAAAGCTGCACTACTTTTATACTTTTATAGCAATGAAGTTGGAGAGGAGAGCTGGAGAGAAGAGGAAGAAAGGGACGGAGGGGGACTTCCTTTTTCACACACAGACACACACACACACATATATGTATACTTACATACACACACATTTCTGAGACCTCTGAATGTTCACTAATGTCACAGAACAAAAAAAAACAAAAGTACAGAGACGGTGATGATGTGGAGCCTAGAAAAGGAAGAGCCTTCTGGGTGCCATCCACGAGTTCCACTCAGACTCCCAGAAGGGCCACTAAGGGAGGGAATAACACACACCTTTTCTCTCATCAGTCTCAAAGATGAGAAGGTGGTGTGGTGGGTGCTGTAGGGTGCACCGGCGTGAAGTCCCAGAGCCTCGGGTTCACTCCCGGGTCTGCTGCGACTGCGTGGATGACCCTGGGGAGGCTGCCGAGCTTCCTGGGAGCAGTTTGCTCATCTGAACTGGGCGGCAGAGAGCTACAGAGCATGAGCTTGAAAGCCCTCAGACTAGCCCTGCCACCCATGGGCTGTGATCCTAGGCAAATCACTGACCCTCTCAAAGCCTCCATCTCCGTCTTCCGATTATTTTTTAAAAATGGGGGCCGGGGGGTGGGGCGGTAATATCACTCACCTTTCCAGAATGTTCCAAGGATTAAATGATACCATGTATCTAAAAAACTCAGTCCAGGCCCTGGCCCATAACATGAGCTCAATAAACAGCAGCTGCTGGCATTTTTGCTGAGAGGGCAATGGCACTGGTGCTGCCCACATAAAGGGGTATTGAGAAGATCTAATGAGCTGTACCCTGGGAAAGAGCTCCGGAAGTAGAGCGGGACGCAAAGGCGAGGAGCACTTACATAAGGATTCCTCTCCCACCCCAACCCTCAGATGGCCAGACGGCTAAGATCCTTAGTGGGGCTGGGAGAACTGTAGAATGCTCTCTTTATTCATCCTATTCACAAAATTCTAATCAGTTATTTATTTGAGTCCCCAACTCAACCAGATAGGAAACCTCAAATCAGAAAGGGAAAGATGGGCTGCTAGAAGCAAGTGCTGACTGCTGCTAATAACACGCCAGCCCAGGAACGCTCAGACTCCTGGCAGCCCGTCCCTGGACCCCTTCAAACTCTCAGAACGCTGATGCCCAGGCTCTTTGGGACACTCTCTGCAAAGGGACCCACACTTCTCAAGGTCACAAAACCCAGCCCAGCTCTTCAGGCTCTTCCAAACTCCATCCCAGTGCACATCCCTCTCCCAAGCTACTCCACAAATCATGAGGTCCTTTCCCGGAAACTTCCACAAACACATCCTTCCCACCCACACCCCCGCCCCCCACGGTCGTTCTGACATGCTTCCTCACGCTGCCTTCCTGCTCTGCAACACGCTCCCCCTGCCATCCTCCAGGGGCCCCCGGATTCCTCCTCAGTGTCTCCATCCCACGGTGGACAAGCCTGACCCCTCTCACTCCAGTTCAGAGCCCCACCTGACATCTACACACTCCTCCATCTCGGGGCTGCAGCCCCCACTCTTCCACACCCCCAAACTGGAGTTTCGGCTCTCAAGCTCTCCCACACAGGCTCCCAGGGCAAGTCCTGGCCCCGTCCGTGCTTCCACCGCAGGGACCCTTCCCTGCCCTCGGTACGCACACATGCCAGGGCTCCCCAAAGCTCCCTCCTCGGAGAGGAAGACACACACCTCCATCCCGGGACTCCTCGAGAGCCTCCGCTCCTCCCGAGTCCTCCCACAGCCGTCTTTCAGTTCCCGTCTCCAGACGCTCCGAAACACACCCCCTCCCAGGCTCCCCGACTTCCTCTCCCGACTCAGGCCGGTTCCCCTACCCCGGACCCGGCGGGTCCCCGACGCCCCGTCTCTCCCACCTGGAGCCCATCAGGCTCCACCTCCAAGCGCACCTGGTGGGCCGGGGCTGGGAGACCCCCGCACCCTCTGAGCTTTCGCTCCCTAACTCCTCCATCAGCCCCCAACTCCTCCATCACTCTGGGCTGAGTTCTCTGAGGCTGCCCTGGGGGGCCCCCGCCCCGGCACCCCCCGACCGGCCAGCCCACTCCCACTCCCACTCCAGCCGGCTCCGGTCCCCCGGCCTTCTCTCGCCGGACCCGGCCGGACCCTCCCGCCCCGGGG